ATCCTTGCCTGATGACAGCTATACACATCCTGATGCAGCTGCATCAAGACTCTCTATGCCAGAAACAAGCTTTCTTCTTCACTGATGGTCACATACAGGGAGATGGAATACACGTTGTTTTGAGCTTTGTGTGAAAAACTTGCACCTGCACATAAGGAGAGTCAAAGTACGAGGAATGCCCTGCATGGTATTTTTTATGCAGATCTCCATATATTTGTTGCTCTTCAAAGCTGCATATAGTTGAACTGAAACCAAAACTTATCATTCCCTACATCTTTTTTTCCCCCTATTTCTTGCTGAACAGTATTTTTGACATTTGAAGACATTTAAGTATTGAATTACTCACTCCTTGACAGTGTATACAGATCACTTTCTAGGTCGTTTTCCAAATCCCAGAACTGCAACTCAATTGCTTTCTAATTGCAATGTAATTGCTTAATAATTGCAACTTAATAATTGCTCAATGAAGAATATACAAGGAGTGATTAGAAAGAAATAGAAAACATAATTAAAATGCAGACAACTATTTATATTCAACAATTTATGTACATTTTTAAATTGGAAGGGATGAGAAACATGCTGAAAAGTTATTAGCATTAATTATTTGGCTGGAAGAGGTCATAGCACAAGTCCTGCTGCTATTTAGACAATGTCCTCTGAAATCTACTGGTTTAACTCCTAATGAGAACAGTCCTACCTTGGGGAAGCGTAAGCAATGGACTACAATAGACAGCCACCAGAGGTATCATACAGCAGAGGGTAACACAGCAGGAGTAAGACACAGGTGAGGCTTAGGTCTGCCCACTGCTGATCCAGCTCTGCTCTCACCTGCTTTGGCTTTCTTACTTCTCACGCACTAGTGCTGGTACACAAGTGCAGCACAGACTGCCAGCAACACTTGGCTTCATTCCACAGCTGCCTAAAGCACTACCAGAAAGCATGTGCTTGATTTGCCATATCTTCACCATAGTTTACTATTCATTGCTCCCATTTTTTCTGCCATCCTCTTAAAGGCACCGTTTGCTGCAGTGTGAGTCTTCAGCAACGGGCATCACAACTCTTCACATCACTGGTGAATTGCTATTACTTTACCCTCTGCTAGAGAGATAAACATGTTTTTCCAGAAGGAGTAACCCTGCTTCCATGATACACCGTGCTGTCTTGGCCAATGTTAATGACTGCTGGACTCTGCAAGTGTGCTCACGGCATACAGTCACCCCAGGGCCTACACTCACATCTTCCCTGTTGCCTGTGGAAAGCAGGCAGAGAGGTCCTATCCAGTAACAACATAAAGACTTTGTGCTGGGGATAGTTGTGCTGTGCTTGCATATTCCTAAAAATACAGGCATCCGCTGCCATGGAAGAAGTAAGGGTTCTGCTCCTTGGATGAGGACCAGCAGTTTGGTCCATGGGGAAAGAAAATAAGAAAAACTGTTTGCTGCTGACAACAAGCCTTTGTACAGTTCCCAAACAGACACAGACGAATTGGACTGTGGGGAACAGGAAGAACAGCACAGACTGATGGCTCCACTGGGGACATCTTTCACCTTCATGTTGAAGAACATGACATTGAGCAGTGTCATTCCAGGTCAGCAGGAAGGATTCACTGAGCAAGCCAAGAATGATCCAATCTTGTTATTTTACAGCATGTCCTTGATGCACCCAGAAAAAAGTAAAAATCAGCCTCTCCAAGTAACTATTCTTCAGACTGTTTTTTTCTTTTAAGTGAAGAAAGCTGTATTTTGGGGAATACTGCAGCTCGTGACCTTCAACTGTTATTCTAAGTACTCAAGTGTCATACTTCTCTTTTCTCTTTGTGAAGAGAAAATCCTTTCAACATTCTGTAAGAAAATCTCTGCTGTACAAGTTAGAAAGAGAGAAACTTGTGCATTCCAGCAATTTAAAATTCTTCCAAGAGCTGTTAGCAAGTAACTCTTCAGTTGAAATTTTACCTAACAAACTTGGTGTCTTCTGTCCAAGCTTTCAGCAAGAAGTTAGAAGTGGGATCTGCACATGTTCTAATCTGAAGCTGTACCTTGCAGTGAGACTGCCATGGAGTCCTCTTGCTTGTATTTATATGAGCTCCTAGCAGTCAGTGCTCCATGCCAGTTATTTTGACTACACTCTGCAGAAAAGCCTCCACATAGTGCTTGTGTGGTGTGATAACATTCCTTATCCCCGCTTATTTTCTAACAATTAAGCTTGCCTATGGTGCTGTACAAGCTTCACTGTTCTATGAAGAGAAACACTTCTTCAGAGTGGTCATTGGGGCACATTTGTTACTGTTTGGCTTTATATTTCGAAGATCCATCCTCTTCACTGCGTCTGGGAAGATATATAGTGATAGATCACTTGATTGCCTATTCAGCAAGCAGGCATCATAGACTGCAAAAAAAAAAAAAAAAAAAAAAAAATTAAAAACAAGTCTGACTTCAGCATTTCTCCTCACCATCTGAGGTTGACATACAGTGAATCCCACACAAGTGTTAGGAAATTGAGAAAACCAGGAGCTGAAGGAATACTCTCAGGTCAGATCTTTACCAAGATTTCTTGAACATGGGTATACAAGTACAATATTCACATAAATAGTTCAAGCCTACTGCTTGGTAAAGTCTGAACTACTTTTTTTTTTTTTTCTGAGAAAAACAGCCAAATCAGATTATGATAATTTTGTTTGCTAAGAAGGAAATTATGTCAGAGTTACTGAAAGTTGTTGAATGAAACCAATCCCATGAGATGGGGGAATGTTTAGATGTGAGAGATATTTTTAATCAGAATCATCCATTCCCTACTTTGACTTATTTTTTAATGAATTTACATATGTGTAGTCAATGAATATACAAATGTTATAATTAAGAAATATACAAGAAAGTCAAGCTAAAAAGGTTGGCATGCTAAAGAAGAATGGATGGAAAGCTTACCCTTGTCCTGGACTCACTGAGAAGACTCCAAGGGGAGCAATTTCCAAAAGAGATCCTTCCCCAGTGGTAGTCAGCTCTTAAACGAGGTCTAGGAGAGGTAGAACCAGGCTTCACCCCTTCTGATAGCCCAGGAGAATTGTCTTTACCTGTGCTCCCAGTGCTGACTCATTGCTCGTCTCAGGTAGTCAATCAGAGGTTCAGGCCATGATTCAGCAGTTCCATACAACATATCAGTACATTCAAAATCAGACTAATGCATCCATGAATTATGCTCGTATCAGAATTAAAAAATGTTTATTGCAAGTAATTCTTACCTAAAATACACACACTACAAATTCTACACCCTTGGCTAATTGGGTATATTTTCTAATTCTGAAAGTCCTTTGGAAGACAAAGAAAATAATTGAGAAAATCTATTATATAACCCTCTGCAAGATATTATAACCATTTATATTGCCCATGTTGTGTATGTGAAGTATTAAGTAATTAGTTGGAAGAAGATATTCACATTTTCTATTAGCCAGCAGTTAGTCGGTACCTTCCAGTCTTCAAGCAGCAAGCAATGATGCGCTATCAAAGTTCTATCATTTGACAGATTAAAATAATTATTATCCTTTCAAAAAATATCCTAACACACTTTCATTACTGCCTTGAAAGTCAGATGAAATGACAGATTATTCCCCCTTAAATGTGCACAAACAAATTATTACTATTATATTATTATTATTACTATAACATTGCTATGTCCACAATTTGAGGCATCAGTAGCCATACCAGAAAAGATGCTCTTTTCAGAAAAACATTCACCGATTCATGCATACAAACAATGCATTCATACACACTCAGATGAAAAAAGAACAAATACACTGTTTTCAGTGCATAGAGTTTTTGAATAATCAGCATGTATCATTGAGCTATGATATATTGAGCCATGGGAAAATATTGGAAAACAACATGATTTAGTTTGCTGTCACAGTAAGTGAGCTGTATGGATGACTGTGACTAATACTGTAATGCAATTTTGTTCGTTGTACAACAGCTGCCTTTGTGTTTTTTGAAGCGTGAACTATTTTACACTTCATAGCAATAAAAAAGTTGAAAGTGCTTTATTCCTCAGAAGCTATGCTTTCATGATTTGTGCCATTTGCATATCATCATATATCTGACAGTCCTTCACAAATAATTGAGAAACTTCTGCATAAATTACAGGAAGCCTTGTGGTAATTATTGCTTTCTTTACTGATGCATGCAAAGTCAATCCTCTTGTACACACAGGACTTTTCTTGACTTGTTGATGAACAACACCATTGCAGCAAATGTCAGTTTCAGGATGGGAGTAACAACAAAAGCAGAGCCACTAAAATATGTAGGTCATTCTAAAAATAATGCCTCCCGTTGATTTGCATGGGAAATACAACAGATACATAGAGCACAACAGCACCATGCGAGAGAGCAAATTTCCAGCTACAGAACTTTCTTTTTCAACCTAGTCATGACCATCAGGAATGTGTTTTTGCCAGCGATGAACAAGAGTCTGTGTGCTCTGCTGGCAGCAATCTGCAGCAGCAGAGGTGACCTGCCGTCACCGCCACCACTGCTGAAACACACCACCCACTGCTTCGCTGCACTCATATTCACTGTTTGGTCTCCATTAAACGTTCAGCAAATGTTGATGAATTTCCTCGTGGAAGAATTCAGTGACGCAGCTTTGTTTCATACGCACTTGCACGTCAGTTGCCATTTTGTCAGAGTGCCCCTCCGCTGCCATCTGTCACACGGCAGCAACATGGCACGGGATACTGGTGGGAAAGTTCAGCCTCTTCTGCAGTTGCACCAGTGTGTGCCTCTGATGTTGTGGTCCAGCCCCTGTACGTACACATGTAAGGATCGTGCTCAGTGTGCATGACGGTGACGGGCTGATGTTGGACTATCTGATCTCAGTGGTCTTCCCCGACCCTCATGACTGTGTGATTCTATGCATTAATGTTCTGAGTCAGCCTTCAACAAGCCCTAAATAACAATACCCAAAGTTTGCCTGTGGTTGTTATACGGAGGAAAAAATAACAACTAACACTGAGAAAGCCAATTTTACTCTGCAACAGCTCCTTTCAGACAGACTTCGGGCCTCAGTTTCAACCCTCTCTTTCTGCATTTTAACGAAAGCTTAAACAATTTCTTTAGAAAGCACGAAGAAGAGTTCAGGATTTGTGCCGGCGGACACATCAGAAGAGCTTCTCGGGGGCTCCTTGGCCGGCCTCCCACCTCCCCCGCGCCGCGCATGGGCTCGCCCAGCCGCACCACCTCCCCGCCGTCCGCTTCCCCCGCTAGCAGCGCCGTCTCGCCCGGCGACGCCATTTCCGGGGCGGCCATTTTGGGAGGCCGGCGCTCGGCGGCGGGTAGGTGCGGAGGGGGCGGGCTCGGGCCGCGCCGCAGCAGCAGCTGGTGTCAGGGCGGGGGGCAACCCGCGAGCCGGCGAGCGTGGGGCGCCACAGGGAGAGAGCCGCCGCCGCCGCCACCACCCGGAGATCGCAGTCCCGCCATGTCGGACTTCGACAGCAACCCCTTCGCCGACCCGGACCTCAACAACCCCTTCAAGGTGAGGCGGGGGGGCGGGGAGGGCGGTGTGCTCCGGGCACCCCGCTGCAGGAACCGGCCCCGGGAGCTTCTGCTGGCTCGAGCCGCAGTCCGGAGGCCGCGCCGCGAGCGGGGGGCTCGGCTTCGTGGGCTGGGCGGCTCGGGGTGTTGTCAGGGAAAGCGGCCGTTCTGGAAGCGCTGGGAACGGGCGTAGCGCTCTCACGAGTTCAGGTTCCGCCGTCCATACTGCAGCTGGAATAGCAGGAATTGTTTTTTCCACTTCTCTCCTACCTCTTAATTTTGTTTTCCGCGTAACGTCTGCAGATGCGTGTGTGCGTGTGATACTATACAGTATTTTTCTTTCCGTTCGGCTGACCCACATAGCGCCGTGGATTTATCACGTTTTCCCTCCGCCGTCTCCTCCTGGCCCTCATCGGGCTTACCTGCTTTGCTGCATTTTTCTGAAGCGCGCAGGGTGCTGACGGAGAGGCTGGGTTCTGCCCTGCTTTCTAAAATGCTGCGTTACAGCGTGTGCTGAGCTTTTGGTTCTAGCACTCCTGACCCGGCACGCCGCTGGGAATTGTTCCTTTACCCTCTGTTCTGGCTGCGGTGGTCAGGGTGAGCTGACCTCTACAGTGCTTCCCCACCTCATCTGCTCTTTATTATTTGAGTCTGGTTGGTCTGATTTTTTTTTTTTAATTATTTTTTTTTCCCCAGCTAGTTAAAAAATCTCACCAAACTTCTCCTGTGTCTCATTATTATCTCGTGGGCACTTTATAACACACGATACTGCATGTCAATGAATTTGGGGTGTCAGCTGAAATATTTAAGCCTTGTAGAAACTGATCTGTCACACTTCAACTGTACTCCTGCACAAGGAGTTGCTGAAAGCATGGTGTTGTCTGGTTCGTTCATTGGAGTCTTTCATCTCATAAAACTTAGTATATTTTGTTATTTGGGCTCACCACTATGTTTTTACTTCACTTTGTGCACCGTGCAGTGATGTTTCTAGGGGAACAACAGTCCAGGCACAGGGGTTGCTGCCAGCAGTAGTTTGAACTGGCACCAATGGCTGTGAGCTCTGTTCTTTACTTCCTGGCACCAGGAGACAAAAAGGTGTCATTGTTCTAGAACATGCCTTCAGCAACAAAAGTAAGTGATTCTTTTACTGTGCAAAAGCAATATATAGCAAATTTATTGTGTATGGATAACCAAAGCAGAAACAGCTTCCCTTGCATTGTTTATTGGCCCTGTAAGTTCATAGAATCACAGAATGGTTTTGGTTGGAAGGCACCTTTAAGGTTGTCTAGTTCTAAGCCCCCTGCTATAGGTAGGGACACCTCCCTCTAGATCAGGTTGCTCAGAGCCTCATCCAGCCTGACTTTGAGCACCTCTAGGGAGGGGGCATTCACAGCCTCACTGGACAGCCTGTTCCAGTGTCTCACCACTCTCACAACAAAAAATTTCTTCCTAATATCTAGTCTAAATCTACCCTCTTCCACTTTAAAGACATTTTCCCTCACTCTGTTACTACATACCCTTATAAATAGTGCCTCCCCAGTTTTCCTGTAGGCCTCCTGAGGTACTGGGAGGCCCCTATAAGGTCTCTCTGGAGCCTTGTCTTCTCCAGGCTGAAGAGAACTTGTCCTACGTAGTGTTTCTGAGACCCAAGCTGAGAACCCACCTCACAATCACTCAGTTTGCTCACTGCTTAAAGTGATGTTTTTTTCTAGTTCTTCTTCATTGTAGCTGTTAGGCAAGATCTGCAGTGTATCACAATAAAAGTACTCTCGAACAACTCTGTAACTTGAAGCTCCTTGTTAAACACAGTTCTGGATTTCTCTCTTGCAGAAGTTGTTCTAGGAAGGCTTCATGCTTTTCCTTTCTTGGAGGGCTTTTTTCCCCCGCTTCTTCTCGTTTCTGCTATTTTCTTTCTCATTCAACTGCCGACAGAAAATGATGCTGCTTACCTTTAGTCATATACTTATTTACTTGAAGGGGTAGAAGGCCCCCTCAATATGCCAAACCTTGATTGCCGTTTCATTGCATGACGACTTTGAAGTACATGTGTCTGGATTTCAATTTACTCTATCTGTTTTATAATATGGGCTATGTATTTTATTGTATTTTACGTACAGAACCAGAATTTCCAGATAGGCCTTGATGATTTAGATTGTGTTGTCTGAACACTGTATTCAAATTTATTCATACTATTTGTCTATGAGATTACTTACTTCCCTTATGTTGGCAGGCACTTTCTATGTCTGTGTAAAATCACAAAGTAGTGTGATAGATAAAACAGGGAGGAGCATTACATGAAGAGTCGTTGCCAGGTTTGAAGACAGCTCCTGCTTTCTCTGAAGTATTTAGGTTTTGCTAATTGTCTGTGATCTGCTAGTTTCCTGCGACTGCTCTCATGTCTTTTAATGAAAAGATTTCAGTGGAGATTCTTCATTGATACTGAATGGAAAAACGGGAAGGCAGAGATGTCTAGTTTGCTCATGCTCAGCATTTTGGGTCGTTACTTCTTTTGGAATCTTAAAATTATGTTTCTTGTTTGGCATTCCTGGACCTAAATGGATCTAGTCTGAAAATAGAATTTCTCATATGAAGTATTTGCTTGCTTAGATTGATCATGGCATATTGATATGTGAACACCAAACATCTCTTTTTAAAAAAGGCCAACACATTAAAAAACAAAAGCCCTCAAACTGAACCCAAAAGATGTTATGTTTTTGATATCACAGTATTCCTCTACAAGTAGTTGTCCCCTTGATGGTATACCAACCGAAATAGGAGATCTTTCATTTAGAAAGACAAGGAGTGATGAAACAAAGATATGAATAACATTCTTGCATTAGAAAGCTTGTGATCACATTAGAATTTTGCAGCAGAAAATGCTCTCATGCAAGTGAAGATATGTTAATCTCACTATAATTTGATGTAGCAGCAGTGTGAATACATACAGAGTGACTTGAAGCATCATAAATGAAAATGGGCTAGTAATGAAAGCTGTTTCCTTCTCTGTGAAATATTTCTGTCTTGAGTGCAGGAACTCAGGTTTGGTAACATTCTCACAGACAAATGGTGGAATCCCACCTAATCCAGACAGGGTGAGCAAAGTGGGTCCAGTGATAGTACTGTGTTCAGTTTGGAGTCAAGAACCTGCTGAGGCCAAGGTAGTAAGTCAAGTTTGGGTCAGTATCAGGTCCCCTGAAAGTAATAGGTCATCTGGTTGGGTCACTTCCCCTGCTGTACTGAGAGCTCTGAACAGATGCAGGTATTTGATACTAAATTAAGACTGAAAAGTAAGATGTATTTGTGTTTAAATATGAATGGTAGCCTCCTGGTAAAAACAACTAAATGATATGGATGGAGATTGAACAGAACACTGCATGTCTTGTTCAGTTATAGTCTGGAAGCTTGCAAGTGTGGAAACCTTCAAAATTATGTAGTTCTGGAAGCAGTTTCTTTGGATGGGTATCTGTATTGGAACTGTTAAGTCACAGCCTGAACCACCAATTGAGCACCTCGTGAAGGAGTGTAGCCAGACCTGGGAGCACATGTGGAAGCAATTCACCTGTGTGACTGGAAGGGGTGGAGCTCCCTAACCTCTTTTAAGGGCTGGCAGCTACAAGAGAAGCATCTCTACTTGGAGATCTTCTCCTTTGGAGTACTTGATGAGCCATGATCCTTGGAAAGGGTTAAGCAATTCTTTATTTACTGGCTTGTGATGTTTGCCATTCTTAGATAATTTAAAGCAGCTATATCTGCTGTTGCCTTTCTCTACATTATCCAAACAATGGTTAACCTCCAGTTATTGCTCCTCAAAGTCTTCCACAGTTCTGTCATGACTACCCTTCTTGTGTAGATGTCTGAGATTCTCTAAGACATCTAAAAATGGCATTAGATGCCTGAGTTGCTCCCACTGAGGTCACAGGATTAGTTTAGTCACTGAAGCTAAGTATACATTAGAGCTTAACTTCACAACAGAGCTAGTTCCAGTGATAATTTGGATATTGCAGTTAATCTGACTCACGTGAACACAAATAAATCTTCTGTCTTGTTTGGAAGGAAGGATGAGCTGAGATCTGATGCTGAAGCACCAGAGAATTGAAGACTGGTGCCATGTATTGCAGCAGAACTTATCTGTACAGCTTGCACCTTACTGCTGCTGTCAAAGTGAAGCTGAAGTGAAAGAAACTTGCATGAAGAAAAGGAAAACTTAATTGCGTGTGAAGGATCAGGACCCTAATTACATGAAGTGTCGTATGCCTATATGCCTACCTTTGTTTTAATTCTTCTTAGGTAATTAGAAAATGTACCCAATTAACTTGTATTTCTTTAAATCATTAAGGGACATAAACTACAGATACTTTTCTGATTTGCTTATGTTGTCCCTTCATATTTTCAAAACCTACAAGATCCTTCAGTCTCACATAATTTAACACTGAAAATAATGTTCAAATTGCCCTTTAAATATGCTACATAGTAAGTAATTTTCAAGAGTACACTTCCTCAGTGCTGTTACAGTAATTCTCATTTATGGTGTAGTGTCTTGTTTGATGCTCAGTAGTGATTATAGCTGCATTTTTCCAAATTTTCAGTGTTTGAAAGTATTAGATTTGTATTAGTTTTGCATTATGTAGAGTGACTTCAGCATTACAAAGAGGAATATACTGTACCTTTCGTAGCTAAGGAAGGAGTGAGTCTTTAGAACAACTAAGAGACGTGATGCTTGTATTGGGCTTGCATGGGAATGTTTTGGTATCAGGAAAGCTGTAGGGATGACCTCTGTGCGCCCTCTCAGCACTGCCCCATGTCAGATCAGAGCCAGCTCCAACAGGAACCTGCTGCTGCCAGATCTGAGCCATAAGTCATGCTGGGAGTACATGGTTAAACAGCAGCTGAGAGAATGGGGTGAGGAAGCAGGAGAGAAGCAGCCCTGCGGCCACCACAGTCACAGAATCACAGAATTGTAGGGGTTGGAAGCGACCTCCAGAGATGATTGAGTCCAACCCC